TGTGTTTCTTTCAAATTCTTGAAGTTCAGCCTTAATGTTCAGGAGTAAGTAGGCAGAGGTGATCTAGAGTCTCTTTGCCATTCTTTTGTGATCGCGCTAGCTTGTTTGTTGGAGTCTGAATTATCAGTAGAAAATCTTCATTCCCTTAAAAATGTAGCTCACTGGAGCCATGTTGAACCTTCTCCTGAAGGCCCGGCTTCTTCTGCCGCTAGCTCGTTTGTTGGAGTCTGAATTATCAGTAGAAAATCTTCATTCCCTTAAAAATCTAGTTCACTGGAGCCATGTGGCAAAGTCTTATAATTCTGATGTCCATAGTTTTCCCTTTGTTTTTATTTTTTTGGGGGGAGAGGTTTTTTTGCTATAGGGCGCGTGCGCTTGCCAGAAAGACAGAGAGAGACAGAAAGCGAGAAATCACCCCCTGGGGGAGATGGCCACGCCACAATCCCTTCTCCATTCTCCTCTCGGGATCTTGGGCATGCACGCACATGCGCCCGGCGTGAGTTCTAAGCCACCAGGTCCGGGATGCGAACTGCGGTCGACTACGTGGGAATCCAGCAACACAGCCATTACGCTAACTGCTGGTTCCCTCATAGGAATTTCTTTTTAAGAGAGATTTTTTTCCTTAGGGTACATGCACTTGCCAGAGAGACAGAGAGAGAGAGAAACAGAAAGGAAATCACCCCCCAGGAGGATGGCTATGCTGAGTGCCTTCTCCAGTAAGCTACTAGGTATGAGACTTGAACTGCGGTCGGCCATGTGGGAGTCCAGTGATGTAACCATTACACCATCTGCTGGTATTTTTGGAAGGGTTACTATAGAGTGCGTGCACTCGCCAGAGAGACAGAGAGAGATGGAAAGCAAGAAATCACCCCTCTAGGGGATGGCCATGCCGCAATCCCTTCTCCTCCATTCTCTTGGAATCTTAGGCACGCATGCACACGTGCCCAGCATGAGTTTAAGCCACCGGGTCCAGGACTCGAACCTCAGTCAACTACATGGGAGTCCAGCAACATAGCCACTACGCCAGCTCCTGTTCCCCAGATTTTCTACTCTTTTGTGAGGAGGACAGGTATTTATTCTCATGCAGGGTTCTACAGCCTGTGGGCAGCTCTGCTTTGGGTTGCAGATTGACTTGCCTTGGCTTAGACTATCGGGTGGGTTCACGTATGCTCTGCTGAAAGGGCAGCTGCTTCTTGGAACAAGCTCTTAACTTGTATGATCACTTGAGTATGTGAGGCAAGCCCTCTGGTAAAGGCATGTTTCAGGGTCTGTTCACATTATGTCTGCTAACATTCCTTTTACCCCAACAGATGATTCAGACAAGACTTACAATAGCAGATGGGACATTAGTTACAGTCTGGGAGTGAAAATTCACAGAATAATCTGTTTATCACAGTAACATTTGCTTACAAAATTACTTTTTATTGAGTTTTTTTTTTTTTAACTCTAAACATATTGAAACAGACTTTCTTAATTTAAAAAAGTCTGTATTGATGTATAAGTTACATACCGTAAAATTAGCCCAGTTTAGTGGGCTTCGGTACTGTACACTCATGGAATTATGCAACTATGACCATAATCAACATAAGAACATTTTTATTACCTAAAAGAGAAACTATGTATCCATTAACCATCATTTTCCATCCCCCCCCCAAGGTTCCAGTTAAGTAGACAAACATAGATGTATTTTCTTTTTTGTTTTTAAAGAATTATTAACTTTATTTGTTCATTTTCTCATTGTTTAATTTGACCAGACAGGGACAGAGCAAGAAAGAGAGAAAGTGAGAAAGCAAATCACCAGATCCAGGACTAGAAACACAGGTTGGCCATGTGGGAGTCCAGCGCCCCCAACCACTACCCCACCTGCTGGCCCCAGCACAGATGTGCTTTCTATCTCTCTAGGTTTTCCTATTCTAGACATTTCATATAAATGGAATCATATGATGTGTTATCCTTTATGACTTCTTTCTTTCACTTAGAAGGATGTTCTTCAAGGTTCATCTATTTCATAGATTATTAGTACTTCTTTTTATTTTTGAATCTTTTATTATATGGGTATACCACATTTTGTTTATTCTTTTGGCTAGCAGACATTTAAGTCGTTCCTACTTTTTGACTATTGTGAATAATGCAGCTTAAGAGCATTTGTGTATAAGTATTAGTGTTTTCAGTTCTCTCAAGTTTACATGTAGGAGTGGAATTATTGATCATATGGCAGCTCTATGCTTAATGTTTAAACTGTTTTCTGTAACAGTTACATCACTATCAGTATTTGAAGATTCCAGCTTTTCTATGTCCTTGTCAACACTTGTTATTATCTGTTCTTTTGCTTATTGCTATCCTAATGGATCAAGTAATACCTCATTGTTATTTTGACTTGCAAATATGTAATGACTGTTAATACTGAGTATCTTTTCCTGAGCTAGCTGGCCATTTGTG